CGCGCGGTTGTACCCACAGGGGGCTCTCCAGCACCCTGTCACCCGCGCGCGGCTGTACCCGCCGGCCTGGGTGTCACCCGCATGCGGTTGTACCCGCAGCGCGCTCTCCAGGACCCTGTCACCCGCGCGCGGCTGTACCCGCCGGCCTGGGCGTCACCCGCGCGCGGTTGTACCCACAGGGGGCTCTCCAGGACCCTGTCACCCGCGCGCGGTTGTACCCACAGGGGGCTCTCCAGCACCCTGTCACCCGCGCGCGGCTGTACCCGCCGGCCTGGGTGTCACCCGCATGCGGTTGTACCCACAGGGGGCTCTCGAGGACCCTGTCACCTGCGTGCGGTTGTAGCCACGAGCGGGGGGATCCTGAGGGCCCTGTCACCCCTGTACGGTTGTACCCACGCACAACTCTCGAGGGTCGCGTCACCCGCGTGCGGTTGTAGCCATGCACGGCTCTCAAGGCTTGTGTCACCCGCGTGCGGTTGTACCCCACGGGCGGCTCTCAAAGGTCACGTCACCCACGTGCGGTTGTAGCCACGAGCGGGGGTCTCTCGAGGACCCTGTCACCCGCGTGCGGTTGTAGCTACAGGCAGCTCTCGAGGACCCTGTCACCCGCGTGCGGTTGTACCTGCGGGTGGCTCTCAAGGGCTGTGTCACCCCCACGCAGTTGTGCCTACAGGTGGGCAGCGCATGGGGGGTCTTGTCACCCGTATGTGGTTGTACCCACGGGTGGGGGGGGGGCAGGGGTTGTGACACCCGCAGGCGACTGTGCGGCCGGCTCTCGAGGGCCCTGTCACCCGTACGCGGTTGTACCCACGAGCTAGCAGCTCTCAAGAACCGTGGGACGCCAGGCGTACAGCTCTTGAATGTTGTGTCAATCGTACCCGGTTGTACTCGGGTATTGGGGGTTCTTGAGCGCAGCGTTGCCCGCGCACAACCGTACTGCAAACGCACAGCTCAAGTACAACCGGCATGCGGTTGTACTCATGCCTTTGCAGCTCTTGGGAATCCTGTCACCCGCCTGCGGCTGTACCTGTGGGTCTGGGGCTGCTAAGGCCCTCAGCACAACACACGGGGACACCGGTGTCACCCGCATGCGGTTGTACCTGCAGGTTTGTGGCTCCCCAGGCCCTCACGGGGACACGGGGACACGGGTGTCACCCGGAATGTCACCCGCACACAGCTGTACCTGCGGGCCGGTGGCTCGCGAGGCTCTTGCCGCGGTACCTACAGGTTTGTCACCCCCAATCCCTCACCACAACACACGGGGACACACGTGTCACCCAAAGTGTCACCCAGGGTGTCACCCGCGCGCGCGGCTGTACCTGCGGGCCGGTGGCTCCCAAGAGCCTCCCTGCGGTACCTACAGGTCTATCGCTCCCCAATCCCTCACCACAACACACAGAGG